GACCGGGGACCGGCAACGGGATTGCAACCCTCAGTGTTGCTCCCGCGCCTCGCTCAGCCAGTGAGCGGGAACCGGTCTGCATGTGGGATCCGAACCCTCGGGCGGGAGCACCGCCGCGCTTCCCAAGCGGTGCACTATCCAGTGCGCCACCGGGCCGGCCCCTGAGAAACATTTTTAATGAGTCTATAGGTCTAGTGACAATGTGAATTAGCAGATTTTTTAAAATAAAAAATGACTTCAGGCTTTTGAGCTTTTTTGACTATAGAAATAGATTTACCTATACAAAAAAACAAGGGAAGTTGAAATATTAGGTTGGAAGAAAGAATTAACCTGAACTGAAGTCCATGTGCAGTACAAGTTTGTATCAATAGTACTAATATTTTCTTTATTCTCAGTTTTATCTAATTTCCATGTGATAATATACATACATTTTTATCTGGTACTTCATAAAATTGGTCTGAGACAAGGGACCCACAATAGTCAAGACAATCTTGACAAAGAAGAAAAAGTTTAGAAGACTCATACTGGCTGACTTCAAAACTTATTACAAAGCTACAGTAATCCATACAGTGTGGTCTAGAATAAGATTAGACATAAGATTAATGGAAAAAAAATCAGGAGTCCAGAAATAAATATTTACATCTACATTTATTCTTAACCAATTTTCAACAATGGTCCCAAAAAATTCAATGGAGAAAAAATAATCTTTTCAACAAATGATGCTGATATAATTGGATATTCACATGCAAAAGAATGAATTTAGACTCATGTTTCACTCAAAATCAATCATAGACCTAAATATGAGTTAAAACTTTAAAAAAAAAATAAGAGTAAATCTTCCTGACCTTAGGTTAAGCAATGGTTTCTTAGATTAAAAAAAAAAATCAAAAGAACCAAAACAAAATGTAGCTAAATTGGACTTAATCAAAAGGAAAACTTTTATTCTTCAAAAGATACCTCTAAGAAAGTGAAAAGACAGCCCACAGTATGGGAGAAAATATTTGCAAATTATATATCTGATAAGGGATTTATATTCAGAATATATAAATAACTCATAATGCAATAAAAAGACAAATAATTCAATTCTTTTAAACATAGCAAAGAATTTGAATAGACATTTCTGCAAGAAGATATACAAATAGCCAAAAAGCACATGAAAAGATGCTCAATTTTATTAGTCATTAGGGAAATTCAAATTAAAACCACAATGAGATACCACTTCACAACCACTAGAATGACTATAATCAAAAGGCAGACAATAACAACTGTTGGTGAGAATGAACAAAAAAAAAAAAAATGGAACCCACATACATTGCTGGAGGGAAGGTAAAATGGCATGATTGCTTTGAAAAACAGTTTGGCAGTTCCTCAAATTGTTAAATATAAAGTTACCATATGACCCAGCAATTCTACTCCTAGGTATATCCCAAAGGAAAAGAAAAAATATGTCCACACAAAAGCTTTACTCATATGTTCATGGTAGTATTTTTCAATAACAATCCAAAAGTAGAAACAACCCAAACATTCATCAACTGACCAATGGATAAATACATGGAGTACATCCATAGAGTGGGATATTATTTAGCAATAAAAAGAAATTAAGTACTGATACATGCTATGACACAGATGAAACTTGAAAATATTATGTCACATGAAAGAAGTTAACCACAAATGACCATGAATGGTATTATCCCATTTATATGAAATGTCCAGAATAGGCCAATCCACGGAGAGAGAAAGCAGATCAGGGGCTGCGAGGGGCCCGGGGGCAGGGGTAGTGGGGTGCAGAGGGGAATGCAGGGTGACTTCTAAGAGCTACAGGGTTCTTTCTGGGGTGATAAAAAAATAAAGCTCTAAAATTAAAGAGTAGTGATGGTTGTACAACTCTGAAAATACTAAAAAAATACTAAAAAAAACCACTGAATTTTACACTTTTCAAGGATGTTACACAAATTATGTTATGTGTACTATGTACGTATTAATATGTAAATTATATCTCAAAGCTGTTACTAAAGAAAGATGCAGCTTACTTCTTTATTTTAACTCTCTTTTGTCATAACGAAAATAGATACACAATTTCTATTATTTTTTCTCCTCAATTTAAGATATAATCCATGACTGAAGATACTTTGAGTTTAAAAAATTCTGAATTTTAAACTATTCTAGGAAGTAAAGCAATGTTTCCAAATGGTATAAAATCAGTACAATAACATACACTTTTTACCTTAAATTAATAAATAAATAATATTGTAAGTTGTATTTAAATTGGTTTGAGCTGTCTTTATCCCTCTCTGTAACACCGTTTTAAAGAGAAACTTGCCACAGTTTCTTCCTTATGGTTCGTTGGTTTATACGGTGTCTGCGGTGTGGGTGTTGATTTAAAGGAATACGAGGACTAAAGACAGCATTTAGTGTCACTGGCAACTTGTATGTCTGTGTTCCCTAATTTTACAGAATACAAATGAAAACAATGGGATCTATAGCAAAAATCACAGCTTGTTAGCAAACCAGGACACCTAATAGGTCAAAAATATGTCTTTAATGTCAAGAAATATTCATTGTGACGGAGACAAGTTTCTCTCTGAACTGTAAAACTGTAAAACCCTTCTCGCCGCCCATCCTCATCTTCACATTGGACCAGAAATAAGTGATTCACTAACAGCCATGACAAACGAACTAGAAGTAGACTATTAATAATGGTGATATTAGATATTAGAATATTGACATACATGGACCTTAATATTCTGTACACTTAACGTTGGCTCATAGATTAATATTCCAATCTAAAATCACTTGAGAATTATATGGGGGGAGGAAGTACATTTAAACTGAATAAATGTCAACTTGCAATGACTATTTTAAAAAAAAAACTTAAAGAACATTTATTTACCTTGAAGTTCATTTTCTCCCATTTCAATATCAGAATCACTATCTTCATTATTCTGCAAAGCAGCTACTTTTCTTTCATGCATCTTTTTCTGCAATATAAAATATTTTTCAGCTCCGTCCCTTGAGTAAGAGAAGCAGCTTTGACAGGAAACAATTTCTCCATGCCACACGCACCTTGGACAGCAGCTCACTGCTCCACTGTCTAACCCCCTTGGGCACGTTGATGATGCACTCGACAGCTCTGTTCAGTGTCTGCTGCACGTCTTCTAAGGCAGGGGCCATGGCGATGTTGGGAATGGCCAGAGTGATGTTTGCCCGGAAAATGGGCAGACTGCTTTGCTTCATCTTAGATGCATTGTTACTGTCTGAGTTAATACAAAACAGGGAAGAGTTAATATGTTTCATTTAAAATGGAATTTACTGGGCCGGCCTGGTGGCGCACTCGGTAGAGTGCAGCACTCCCGCCGAGGGTTCGGATCCCATATAGAGACCGGAGCGCAGTGCGGGCGCGACACTGAGGGTTGCGATCCCATTACCGGTCACGAAAAAAGACAAAAAGGAAAAAAAAAATGGAATTTACTGGGCCGGCCTGGTGGCGCACTCGGTAGAGTGCAGCACTCCCGCCGAGGGTTCGGATCCCATATAGAGACCGGAGCGCAGTGCGGGCGCGACACTGAGGGTTGCGATCCCATTACCGGTCACGAAAAAAGACAAAAAGGAAAAAAAAAATGGAATTTACTTCATTTTTAATCAGAAAAAAATAAAATATAGAATCAGACAAATATTGGTTGAATGAATGAAAACCAACAAGGATCTAGTTTTGCTCAATTTAACGTAGCAGTTCAGTGGAACCCGAGCCATTTTCCGCTGATTGCAATTCATTGGTACACCCTCCATAAAGAAAACTCACTGTGTGGGGTCAGGCTAAGACATGTAAAATCTTATTAAAAATATTAAAGATAACACTGT